AAGCGAAGGGAGGCGAACCGGAAGCGAGAGGCGAAGGCGAGGGGGTTTGGTCCGGGGATAAGAGGCGAACGCGTCCGACCGAAATGAGCCGAATGAACAGTGGTGAACAGTGCCTTCGGGTTTGGGTGGCGCGCGAGGTTCGGTTCCTCCTGGCTCGGGTTCGGTTCTTCCTTGCTCGGGTTCGGTTCCTCCTTGCTCTCGGGTTCGTTTCCTCCTTGGTCTCGGGTTCGGTTGCTCTCGGGTTCGGCCCTTCTTGCTCTCGGTCCCTAAGAGGACCTTCGAGTCCTAAGAGGCTTCTCTTCTTATAATGAGGTTTCGGTTCCTAAGGTCCATTTTTCTGGTTTTTACCCCGTTTTAAGCCGTTTTTGACCCGGTTAAGGGACGGAATGACCCGAATGACTCTAAAAAGTTACGGGAAACTTTTGAGAGAGATTTGGAGAGATTTCACATACTTGGAGAGATTTGGGAGAGATTTAACATTCTTGGAGTGATTTCTCATACAAAGTGATATTTGAGAGATATTTCACATGCTTGGAGAGATTTGGGAGAGATTTAACATTCTTGGAGAGATTTCTCATACAAAGAGATATTTCACATGCTTGGAGAGAATTGGGAGAGATTTAGCATTCTTGGAGAGATTTCTCATACAAAGAGATATTTGAGAGATATTTCACATGCTTGGAGAGATTTCTCATACAAAGAGATATTTGAGAGAGATTTGACATTATTAGAGAGATTTGGGAGAGATTTGACATTCTTAGAGAGATTTGGGAGAGATTTAACATTCTTGGAGAGATTTCTCATACAAAGAGATATTTGAGAGAGATTCTTGATAAGAAGAGATAGAGTAAAAACGATTGAGAGAGGTTTCGTGTGTGACAAATGTGAGTGTCCGGCTTCACAATGCAAGGTTTGTAAACCCTGTTAAGCCTTGTTTAAGGATCTTACACACCCCCGATGAGTATGCAACATGGTTTTATCAGTTTAGTTCATTGATTTGCTCTAAGGCTCAGGAAATTTTAACACAAGATTTTTCCCAAGTGATGTTTTCCCATTAATATAGCAAGTTATATAGTATGAACATAACACAAACCCTAATACACAAGGTTTAATCGAGTTGACCGGTTTGACTTGATGACTCGACTTGACTCAAGATTGACGATTGTCACATTATTGATGTATATCAAGAATTGAAAAGAATATCTTTGAATAATGTATTTGATTGATATGAATGCTTGTTACATGATCTCACATACATCTTGTTGTTCATCTTTACCTTGTCACATTGAAGTATATATATACGGCATAACATTATATTGTATCTATTTTTGAACTCACTAAGCGTCACCGCTTACCCTGTCGATGTTTAACAATTGCAGGTGATAAATAAATAGTATGTTTACATACTAATGAAAGATGTAGAATAGTTTGTAATAGTACTTTTGTACTACTTTTTATGTTTGTATAAATTACAATATCCTGGGTAGTTATGTAATATATATAACACTTTGTAATAGAAGGTCTGTATCCAATAGTTTGTAAATCCTTTATATCAATGTAAAATATTGCTTTTATGAATATGCAAATAGCATGTTTTGGAGTAATGATAATGTGAAATATGAAAGTTTGGGTCTTTCAAAAGTACGAAAGTTGGGGTCTTTCACAAAATCAAGGGTTAGCAAAATTCCATCATAGACAGATGACTTTTATTAGAAACAAAATGGGCTTTCGACACTGTTTTCAGGCTTTAGATTAATCTTTCCCCTATAATTTTTATAAGTGTAAATCATAGGGTAAATTACACGAATGATCCCTATGGTTTTAAGTAATCTACGCACTTGGTCCCTATAAATAGTTTTTAACTCGAAACGTCCCTAAAGTTTGATTTTGTTGCGTTGTTGGCTCTTAAACAACTTAAAATGACCAATATACCCTTATCTTTTTTATTTTAAATGTTTCGTTTCTTATTAATTTTAACAAATTATATATATAAGAAACTTGTTAATGAATGTGGGCCCACCACCCACCAACCCTTTCATCTCTCCCATGGCATCATCAGCCTCCTAACAACCCCTCCCGCAACACCACCGACGACCACACCATCGGTCTCTTCTACCACCTAATCACAACCATCGTCGAAAAATAGATACCATATTTCAAAAATTACAAAAGTGAGATAAAATGAAAAGTAAATACATTGTTTCCATTGTGAGATTCAAAAGTTTGTATCTCCTCGTTAGAATATTTGTATTGGGAACCAAATTTGCATAAACCAACACTTATACTAGAAACCAAAATGAAAAGAAAAATTATCAACTATAAATACAAATCAAAATGAAAAACAAAATCCAAAAACAAGGTCATTAAAACCCTAAACCAAACTCAAATCGATCTCTAAAGATGAAAACTCACCACTCCTTCACGTCCTACGACTCCACTTTAATTATATTAAAAAAAAAAAAACGGGTGAAACTGATTTTCGAGGTAGAGAGGATCTAGAGAAAGAAATTGAAGTTTTTATCTCCAAAATTGATTTCATGGTGGATAAGAAAGTGCAGATCGAGATTGACAATCAGAGTGCAATGTTGGTGGAGGAGAGGGTGCAGATTGACGGCGTTGAACAAAATGCAACATTGGTGGATGGAAGGCTATGAATCGATTGAGCTGGTTGTCCGGTTATTGAGGGTAACAATGTTTTGGTTATGGTGGTGGCTACCGGTCATGGTTATGGTGATGGTTTTCATGATGTTTGAAGTAGTTAGAGTTTTGTATCTTATATTAAGAGGAGAGAAAAGAGGGGATGGGAGAGAAAACGGGAGATGTTGGAGGAATCCTTATGGCCAAATGTCATAGGAGAATAAGGGGTTAGGGTGGGGCCTACATAGTTTTTATTATTTAAATTTCCTTTTCTAATAAGATTAGAATAAACAATAAAATTAGAAAGGGTATAAATATCATTTTATGTCTAGGCACCAACCCCAAAACAAAAACAAACCACATAGACTATCGGAATTAAAAATTCTATATAGGGACCAAAAGACACGCATTACCTAAAACCGTATTGGCCATTTGTGTACTTTACCCTGGAATATAATTATAACAATAAAAAAATTTTCTTATTTTTATAAGGCATAAAGGTTACCTAGTTATGAATTTTGAAAAGACACGATGCATTGTGTTGTGTTTTGTAATTTATAACCTTTAAAACTAACAATCTTAGGTGTTGTTTGATTTTCTGAAGCAAAAATTCATGAAGTTTGCGGACCACCTCTGCAACCCTTTGTAGTAAAAGAGGTGGACCAAACGGCTGTAGACTGTAACAAGAAGCTTGTTTGTTTTTTTAACATCTGCATACTGCTGCAGATATTAAAAAATTAAAACAAACTAATTTTATAAATCAAAAATAGTTTTTTAATACGGAAAATTTAATAATGTATAACATTTCGACAATAAGTAATGATAACTCATTAAAAAATAATGATATTTCAACAAAAAAAAATAAAGATATTTAGTAAAAAATAATGATATTTCATCAAAAATTATCATTATTCAATATAAAAAAACAAAAAAAAAATTCAACAATAATAAACAAAAAAAACGAAAGAAAAAGTGAAATAAAATTTCAATAACATATGATAAAAAATTCAGCAAGAAAAAAAAAGAGGCCGGAAGAGGTTGGAAGAGGCAGGACAAGTGCTGCACCAAACAGAGCACGTGCAGAGGTTTTGGGCTTTGAAGACTTCTAAAAAACAAACAACTGCGAGATGAAAAGTGCTGTGCGTGTGCTGCGCCGCGCAGCAATAAAAGTTCTGAAAAGGTTTTTTCCGAAAAACAAACAGCACCTTAATAAATAATGTTTATAATAAAATCATACTAAACGAACCAACGAGAGCAGACCCAAGACATTTTGGTGATGCTCATATTTGGAGTAAGTTTGATGTGGTAGTGGACAATTGTACCTATATCCTTCCCAAAACTTGGACCAAATTTCATGCCGTGTTTCTGCCAACAAACGGCTGCAAAGAAACTATTCTATTTTGCTTCGCAGTTCGCTTTATATATCTACAAACAAAATGCCTTCTCGTTGTTTTATACCTTAGAGAACTAGAGTGCTGAGTATGCCTTAGAGAGATAACAGGAAAATACCAGACTTGCAACGCATAGAGAAATGGAGTTGAGAGAAAGAGTTAAACTGACATGTTGAATGCTTTAGCCTTTAGTTAATTCTCATTAATATACAAGTATGTTGCTTGTTATTACAAAACGATAGAGTGCCTTCCAGTCCACCATATGTACATCTCATCAGAAGATGTATTCATCCTACTAGTTATAACAACCTATCCCAATTTCACCAACACTTAAGATTATGAACACCCAAGAGAGGTGTGAAATGACCCAAAACATACCTTTGTGCATCTCTTGTAACTTCAAAATGTGAACACTTTAGAGTGTAACCACCCTACCTACATACAAATGACCAGATCTAGAAGGGGTTTAAACCAGGGTATGGACGTGCATCTTTTGTAACTTCAACAAGTGAAAAAGAAAAAAAAAATGTATTCATAATCGTAATACATACATATCTGAATTATAATCTGGTTTAAAACTCCCACACACCCAACCCTCCACTCATGTCCAAGAAACAAATTGGGCTAAAAATCCCAAAAAAACGACTGAAGCTATATTGATATATTCTATCATGAATGGGATATTTGCAAGAATTCAAGTCATGGTTTCCAAATTCATGCTTTCAGTGTCCTATTTCTAACGACTATATGTCTATCCTATAAGCACCATTGAAGAGCAGACAGTCGAAAAGATTACAGATACCAAAAGGTGTTTGAAAAGAAACCTACCTGTACTGTGACATGAACATAGCATTTGATATGTATACCAATTTCTGCAAGCATGACAACTTTTATTATCTAGGAGTAGTAAATATAACAATTATAAATGTTCTATTTTTGGGGAACTATGTTTTTTTTTTTTTTTTTTTTTTTTTATGTTTTCTTTTTAGCATCATCATCGGAATCGCCATCGCTGTCATCATCCTCGTCGACGTCAGAGGAAGGAGAAGGGTCGAGTCGAGCTGCGTCAATTGCCCAATTGATTATCTTCGAAACTTCATCTTCTTCGTCTTCGTCATCAACGATGCCCAAAATGTCATCTTTCACAGCATTCCCCTGAGTAGAATTAGACGTAGATGTTGCTTTAGAAGGAGCTTTAAGAGCGGCGAATCGTGCAAGCAGATTATCGAAATCTTCATGATCGGCAGTGATTGCCTCTTTAGGGATGGATTTGGAGGGTTTGGCTCTAAGAGCTTGCAGTCGACGATCGAGATCTGGGTCTATTGCGTTGGTGTGGGAGGATTCCGGTAAGAGATCGAACTTGGAGTTGGATTTGGATTTGGATTTGATGTGAGAATTGACGGTGAGCTTGAGGAGAAGGTCATCTTCCGTCGATTTCAGCAGCTCTTCAACTTCATCTATGGCGTCCGGTTGGTTCTTTTTTCCAACACCGCCGCTCTTCCACATCGTGGCTGTTATACCCTTTCCTGCCGCAGATATTCCTCAACTTCCATTATTATTTAGAAAAGCTAAATTGCTTATTTAAGCAAACGAAATTTTATTTTTGAAATACTCCTATAGTAAACTGCAAATTTAGTCTTTGTGTTTACAATTTTATACAAATTGAGTCCTTGAATTTTAAAAATTGCATAATTGGGGATTTTCTAATATGTGAAAATTTAGTCTTTGTGTATACAATTTTATACGAATTTACTCCTTGAATTTTAAAAATTGCATAATTTATTTTGGGGATTTTCTAATGTGCTCTAAGAGCACATATAAGAAGTATTAATTAATTATAATTATTACTATAATTAAATGTTAAACACATTAATTATAAGAAATATTACCATAATTAAATATAAAATTCATTAATAATCTCCATAATTAATATATTTCACATTTAATTATGATAATAATTATGATTAATTAATACTTTTTATATGTATCCTTAAGGCACATATTAGAAAATCCCTTTATTTTGAGCTTGATAAATGTAAAACTTAAAATAATTTTTTTTTCTTATTATTTTTAATTTCTTTACAATTTTTATTATTAAACATTAAAAATAAACACCCACTCCATTGTATCCTACCATTATTCATCCCTCAATTCCATTTAGGGTAAATTGCTATAAAATCACGGTCAAATTTTGATTTTGATACATATTTTTCCCTGTCAATTAAGTCACTAAATTTATAATTTAGTTACAATATCAGTCAAATGACTGGTTTTCACTATTCTCCCGGTAACTACTTCTCCCAAATTGAAATAAAGTCACAAAGTTTACCAAAATTTTGATTTCGACACAATGTTTTGTTTTTCTCAGTAATGTTTACAGTTTTGTTTCGATGTCAACTAATTGACCGATTTCCAGCAATCTAGCAGATTACCAAATAAATGACATGGTGATATTGTGATATGAAAATCATGCCGAATCTTATGTAGAAGGATTTAGTTTCAAATATAGGGTTTGCATCGAACACAATTCCACATATCTTCTTTTCTTCTTCTCATGTTCTCGTTGGAGTATTTCTTCACAAATTGCATCTGAAGGTCGGTTTAATGGTTCAACTCACTTACAAAACAATGAAAATGGTATAGTCACCCTTTCAGGAGATACTAAATTTGGTTTAAAAGCTCGATCTGTACAACAAGTAAATGAAGACCCTTACAACGTCGATCCAGTGGTTCAAACTCACGAAGAATCTCTTGGATTGACCTTGTAGGTTTCTTTATTTAATTTTTGTACAAATCGAACTTCTAAAACAATAATAATGTCTCCTGAAAGAGTGAGTATGCCTTTTTTTGTGAATTTTAACCACTAAATCGACCTCCAAACGCCATTTGTGAAGAAATACTATGACAATAATTAAACATTAACCATTATAATAATGAATGTCTCATTAAAGGATAAGTAGGCCTTTTGTTGGGTCGGCCTTGTAAGGATCTTCATTTACTTATAATATAAATGTCAAAAATAATACAATATCTTGGATTGACCTTGTAGGGGTCATAATTTACTTCTTGTTCAAATCAAATTTCTAAAGCATAATAGAATCTCCTGAAAGGGTGAGTATGTTATTTTTGCTGATTTTAAGTGATTTTAAACTACTGGATTGACTTTCATACGTTATTTTTGGGGAAATACTCTAACAAGAAGAGGAGAAAAAGATATGTAAAATTAAGTTTGATGCAAACCTTATATTTGAAACTCAATCCCGCCACATAATATCTAACAAAGCATCCACATCATAATGTTGTCATGTCATTTATTTGGTAACCTTCTAGATCTATGGTAACCAGTCAACTAGTTGACATTGCAACAAAATTGTAAATACAATGACATAATTAAGAAAAACAAAACACGATATCAAAATTGAAATTTAGTAAACTTAATGACTTTATTGCAATTTGGAAAACGTGGTCATCAGAGGAACATGGAAAACCAGTCATTTGGTTGATATATCAACAACATTATAGATACAGTGACTTAACCGAGAGAAAAAAATACAGTGCTAAAATCAAAATTTTCGGTTATTAAAGACAAATTTGCACATCATTTATGGGAGGATTGAGGCAAAAATAAGAAATTTCACCGATATGTGATTGTTGCTTAAGAAAACAAAGGAAGTGATGATAACATAAGACGTGGATAAAATAGGAGAGGCAGGGCCCAGTTAGGGTGGTAGTAGGGGTGACCGGTGGGTTGGTTGTGGTGTTTTTTTAGAGATAGAGCGAGAAAGATGAAGATGGTGAAGTTTAGGGTTTAGGGGGGGGTTATTTCTACTTTTTAATAATAAAAATGGTAAAAGAATTAAAAATAATAGTAAAATAAAATTAAAAGGGTAAAATAAACATGTAAAGTTTTTCACGGATTAATCCATAATGAAACTTGTTTATTAGGATGTTATATGCAATTTTTAAAGTTTACAGATCCAATCCACATAAAATCCTAAACAATAGGGGACCAAATTTGCAGTTTACTCTAAAAAAATTTCAAAGGGATTTAACTAATTACAAGAATGAAAGAAAAGCATTTAAAAGGATAATATAGCTCTTATTTTGTACATGTTTAGTCATCATTTTTTTGTGCATAAAATAAGTTCTTGAACTTATTGTTTTTATATATATTTAGTCTATATAACCAACTACTCTAGGTTAAGTTCTCAGCATGTAAACATTTAGTTCTTAATATTCTTTGCAAAATATGTCATTGCCATTTTTGTACACATTCAGTCCTTATGACGGTTTTTTTTTTTTTTTTTTTTTTTTTTTTTTTTTTTTTTGAGGTTTTGTGTATGTAGCATCCTACGTGTGACAATCATTAATGGGGTATTCTCATATGTGGCTCGTCTAGGCAGTAGAACCATTTGTTTTTTTGTCTTCATATTGGTAATAGTATTATGTTTTATCTTAATAACTATTATAGTACAACAGCAACACAATTAAAATTATGATATTCTGAAATAAGGTATATTTATATTGACACCTCATACATTTCTACGAGTCATTCATTCTGGATTTAACTGTCAAAACTGAAAACATTTTTTAATATGAGTTTAAGGTTTTACTATTAATTTGTATCTTAATGCATCATTATGTTATTTAAATAAGTTCATATAATTCCTTTTTAAAGTTCTTGTGTAGTTGTTTGTAGTGAAGGACGATGAAAGTGAATCAACGGTGTTTTGTAGTATATGAAATTTTATTATATATGTTATGGTGTAGATTTAAATTATGATATCAACTTTTATGGGTTGGTTAACTTAATGTCTTTCAAGTCAATGTTACATACTATAAGATCAAATATATTCTAAAATATTGAAATCGTGCTTCAAACAATGAGAAGATTAAACATACAAAGATAAATAAGATTTGCTTTTCAATGAGAGGATACAAGCTTGTTACAATATTGATCTTAATAACATCTGCAAAAGGTATCCTCTGTATCTAACTAAAATCCCTTATACAGGTTGACACCCAAGGAGTCGGTTAGAGAAACATCCAATAACAAAATGACACTTAGGTGAGACAGACTGTTTATCTAATACTTACATGTCACTTAAGAAGCCTAATGTATAAAAGCTTTGAAACCATCAAACAATACATTTGTAATAGAAGCACTGAAGACATAAAATAGAACAATAATGAAAGCTTTCGCAAAAACTCAGTGAAGGTTTGTACCGATCAGATACACTTCAAGTATAATCAACAAAGAACAAACTAACTAAACAAAATAAGGAACATAAAGAGTAAAGAACATGAATTAATCACAAAGATGTCTTTCACCAAGAAAAGGGTTGTTCTCACCAAGAGAACGAATGTCACAAAGACTATCACCAAGACGTTAACACTAGGGTTTTCACCCTAATGTTGAGTATATACTAAACTATACTAGTATATCCGTTTAATCAATGGATTGTATCTAATCTATAATAAGAATTGATCCTTATCACCAAGATATCAGATCTGCTATCTATTCCATCCATATTTGTATAATTGCCTAATATACAAAGATTACAAAAGATCACTATCTAGGCGATGATGTTGATAAGGTCCTAAGGCATTGTTACTAATGTTGATGATAGCGTTGGTGTTGTCCGTCAGTGTATAAGGTGTTTGACTCATCAGATTATAAGGTGTGAACTTACAATCTCCCCCTATTTGATGATGTCAAGAATAATATTCTTCTGAGGAGTCATCAAAAGAACCATTATACAATTTATCAGTTTCTTTTAAGATTTCAGGATTTACCCACCTGAATTCATCAATTTGAAGATCTTCCAATCTTTTGATAAGCTCAAGAGAAATCAACACCATATGCTCTTTCAAGTTCTACATGACGAATTCCTTCCATGCGAAAATGACATAAATGCTCAGTGGTGCAGCGAGAAGATCATCAGTGCATTGAAAACACATGTTTTTTTGACTATCAAGATAGAAAATACCATGTTCTAGTTCTCGAATAAACATGTGTTGAATTGGTTCAACACCCACTAGTAACGTGTTGTTGATGTAGTGAGTTCCCATATAGAAGAAGAAACTTAGTATACTTGGACATTCTGGGTTGCCTGTTCTTCCTAAAGTAGATGGTCTAGATAGACCGGTTGATGGCACAAGATCAGCTTTTTGACTTTGTTAAGCAGCTGTTGAATCACTAATTTCACCTCCTGAGAATGATTACCTTTATGTTTGTCAATAATTTCTTGAATTTGTATCCATTTGTTGTAACCAAATTTGACTAGCTCACGAGCAAGCACAACCTTAGTTTATTCATACTCAGTCTTCTTTCTGACCAAGTGAAGCTTCAATGACTTGTTTGTGACAACCCGAAACTTCTATTTTGTACAACCCTTCACTTCAATAGAAGTCAGAACAGTTTCTGCTAATTTTCAAGCTTTTTGGAATAAGTTTCAGTATTTTTAGGATTAGCACTTTAGGAGATATCAGGAGAGAGGATGCCA